ACTAAAATATACTAAATAGCTATACTAATAAAATAAATACAAATAAGAATAAAATAAAGTAAAATAATAAGAAATTAAGAAAGTGAAAGAAACCCATGGTAACAACGTCACTTGAGTGCAGCCTAAAAAGCAAAATGCACATCACACCTAAATATATTATAGTACAATCTAAGTGTTTATAGTTTTCAGGAAACTATAAACTACTTTAGTGCCATTTGAATAATGCTATAAAATGGTGTTCATATAGTATTGTAGAATATTTTTATTTAATTCCTGATTTATATAAATTTAGTGTGACTTATAGGTGAAATACACTATAAATATGTTGATATTATATAATAATATATAATAATTGTTACTAATTAATACATATTATTTAATATTATACTGATAATTATAATGTTTATATTACCATATCACTGTTTATATATATCATTATAGTCTTATTTATTCTAGGTTTTTCTATTAAATTATACTGTCTTGATAATTTCTTCTAGTAACATTATGAGCTTTAATATTCATTTGGAGCTTTAGTTATAACCTTAGATAATTACTTATTACTATATAAATTTATGTTATTATCAGTGTTTGAAATTCAATGTATAAAATGTGTACTAGTACAAGATTTGAAATCTCTACATATAAAAAAATGGATCTGCACAAATTTTACAAGAATTCTAAATTGTATATATTTCACACAGAATTTAATATTTGAATTTCAAACACTGGTTATTCAGATTATTATTTTGTTTTTAGATTACTATAATTTCAGGTTACTACTTTGATTTCCGATTGCAACTTTGATGGTTACTACTTTGTCTTCAGGAGTTACTTTTTGAAATTTTATTATTGTTTCTATTCAGAAATAGTTATAGCAGGTATCAATTACATCTGGTACCTTTGAATAATTATTATCACCAAATAATACTTCAGGAGTTATATTTGAAATTACTTCAAAAAACCTTTAGTTTACTATCTTTAGGAATTCCAGTTTTATCAGCTGATTTAAACAAATTTAAATCAGTAATACAGTATATTTCATTATAACAGAGAATATTTTCAATATAAAAATTTTGATGAATTAAATTAATCTCATTATGCATATAATATAATCCAACTGAAATATAAAATAAATTCTTTAATTTATCTAACCATAATAATTTAGAAAAATTTGATTTTAAAAAATTTCTAAGATTGCCACCCTTCATAAAATGCCTCGGGATCTTGTGTAATACCAAAACACAGTATTATTGTAAATGATAATTAATTACACTTTAAAGAAATTTTTAAATTAAATAAATATAAAAAATGTATTTATAAGTTAAGAATATTATCTTAATATAAAATAAATACAAAATAAGTATAAATTACCTCATTTAAGAAATTCAGTTATTATATTTTGTGAATTGTTTAAAGATTTTAATGCAACTTGACATTCAATACTTCTTTCCCATTGTTTTTGTTGAATATTCCACTTTTTAATATATCCCTTCTTCCAAATAGTTGAATATATTTTTCCAAAGTCTCCTTTATCAATATATTCTTTGTGTCTTCAAATTTGGGATATGGGACCCGTTCAACGAAGAATCAGTTGAAGCACAAATTGATTGGGACTCTTGAATGATTTCATCAACATTTTCGTTTCCACTTGTCCAATTTCCAAAATTTGTTGATAATAATAATAATAAAAATAATAATAAGAAACTTATTTTATTTATTTATTTATTATGACAATAAGGTGTCAATAATTATAGTCAATGATTAATAATCAATAATCGACAATCAAATAATCAATATAAATCAGTTTCAGTAAAATCTACACTAAATCCTTGATCGTGTAATAATTTATTCTTAAGTTTTTCACGCCTTTGTCTCGCTTCCATTTCTTCTCGTTGTGCTATTAAAATTTCTTCTACCGGCACTTGTCTTAAAGGTACTTCATCTTCTTTATCAAGATCCTTTAAACCAAATAACAAGATGGATAATAATAATTAAAGAAGAAGAATAATAATAATTAAATATAATAATAATAATAATAATAATAATAATAATAATAATAATAATCATCTTACAATTTCTCCTAATAAAACTACATTTTCACCTCTAATAATAAAAATTCCTCGAGGAATATCTCCATAAGCATCTCCCACATAAATTCGTTCTATTGTATCTTGTAACACTAGGTTTGCTATGATTAATTTCCATTCATTCATATATCATCCATTTTCATATTCATCAATTTCAATATTTAATAATAATAACAATAATAATAAAGATATATATAATAGTAATAAAGATATATTTGATGATTTTAAAAAAATACATACATATATATATATATTAAAAAATATTTTAAATAAGAAAAGTTATATATACGTGTATATTATTTAGATCATACCAAATTGATCAAAAGATCTTAATACCCCGATTAGTTTGCGTCCATCCCGAAGCACTACTAATAATTTTCCTATTTATTATTAAGTTTTGAGTTTTTGTTTCGTTAATCATGAGTATAGTTTAGAAAAAATAAATTATAACATGATATATAGAGATATAACATAATATATAGAGATAAATGGAAATATCTATAACTTACGATCAACACTATCAACCAAACTAGCAGAAGTCGTGAAAAATGCTCCAGGTACAAAATTATCCATTAAATAATTTAAATAATTGAATTATTAAATAATTTTTATTAAATAATATTTATTAGATAATTAATTTTTTATTAATTAATTTTAATATTGCAATAATTATAATTTTTTAATACTTGTAATAAATTTTAATTATATTTTGAAATTTTGAAATTTTCGGCGGCGAATGTAAAAGAGATTCGAAATTTTTTTTTTTTTTTTATATCGATCTTTTTAGTATTTTTTAACCAATCAAAGAAATATCTCATAATCATATGATTTTTTTATTCTATATATGATATAGTACTAATAATAATAATAACTAATACTAAATACTAATAATATCAATACAATATGCTAATAATATTATTAATGATACTAATGATACTAATGATGATGAAATTGAATTACAGCATATTTTCCCGAATACATCCAATCTTTTTCATCATCAAAAGGAGGAATTCTCGATTCCTCAATTCCTACCAAAACTTCTGCTTTACAAGTTCTAAGTGCTAATAAAGGTGGTGATGAATCTTTTTTGCTTGCTAATGGACCAATGGCTTCTTTAAATGAAGTATTAGTGATTGACCATTTACAATCATAAACCAATTTACGATAATTAAGATCTCCTTTATAAATAATTAATGATGATTTGGATAAATTTAAATATAAATCTGGTGCTTTTTCTGACATATGCCAATATGAATAAGGTGATGTCCAAAAATAATGTGTTTCTATTATCCATTGATTCTTTTTTATATACATTTCCCATCGATTAATTAATTTCTTTATACTATTAACATCATTAATATTATCAATTTTAATATTTTTATTATTATCGTTAATATTATCACTATTATTATCATTATTATCACCATTATCACTATTATTATCACTATTATTATTCAATGTTTTTAGTAGCCAATTAAAATCAAATATTGTGGTATCCGAAACAAACCATGGAATAGATTTGACATGAAAATGAATTTCTGATGCATATTCTGTTTGTATAAGCCAATCTGCTAAAATTAAATCTCCAAATAATTCAAATCCTAATATAAAAATAATTGATAATATAAATGATAATATATTAGATGTAAATAATAATAATAATAATAATAATAATAATAATAATAATAATAATAATAATAATAATAATAATAATAATAAT